CTGAGTTTTAGTCCTACGTCTGACGTTAGGTGACCTTGGTCAAGCTATGTGACCTTGGATGAGTCATTCATCTTCTCTGGGTTCCCGTTTCTTCCCTCACAAAAGGTGGGAGTTAAGCTAAAGAACATCAGCTAATAGTTCTATATACCTGCATAGTGGTTCAATCATTTCTAAAATGACTTCTCATTAGATTACACTGTCCTCTATATATCATCTTTACAGTGCCTCTCAGCTATAAAGTTCTATGATTATCAGTAGCTCATCAGATCATTTCCTTACCTACAAACGTCAACTGCAGACTCTTCACTTTTTCAAAGGCTATTTTTTCTATAGTTTATCTGTCCACTCGTCTATCCTTTTGTTCACTCAACAAGCACTGATTCCATGTTACTAGATATTAGACAATGTGCTAAAAAGCATGGTTCTCACCCTCAAAAATACCACTCTAACGGAGGAGACCCACAATCTTGCCATTGATTAACTAAGCCCGCGGATACATATAGAATGCACAACCTTGACAAATGCTGTGAAGGACAAGGGCAGATGCCTTACTAGCATGTAATAGGGAGGTCTGACTTAGCTGGGGGAGCAGGCAAGGGAATGTATCTCCAAAGAGGAGCAACCTGAGCGGAGAGCTGATGGATTAATGGGAGCTGTGTGCATCGAGGGGGCGAGGTAGGGCTCTCCAGACACAGGAATGGAAAAACATGCTGGATGTGACTTTGGGGCTGCCGAACGGTAGTGTGCCAGAGGGCTTATCAGTCAACTCTTCCAAAACCCTTGGTGAAGAAAATCATCCTTATTTCCTCTGTTAACAAGAAGATATTCAGAAACATGAAATGCAAAAATCCCAAAGGAAGTGCCTGCTGAAGTCAGATTTCGTCCTTTCTAGTCTCAAATGTTCCTGTGCTGGTGCCTCTCACTCACTTTAACTCACCCCTCAAGGAAGTCACTCCACTTCCCTGGGTCTTGGCTTTCTCATCTATAAAACATGAGGCTTGGGTTCTGTAGGATTTCTAAAGTCTCTCTCGTGTGCAGCATTTTATGTTTCTGGAAATACACCTGAGTTAGTGGAGAGGGGGAGGAGAGGCCATGAATCCTACAAAGCGCACTTGTGGCTATGTTTAAAAAACAAAAATCCGCATGCATTCATAGTACAAGAAAATGTTGTAGGCATTGTAGCTATTGAAATGCAGGTTGGAGAGAGCCAAAAATAGCTCACGCACCCACAGCTAATGCAGGGAAACTGCCATGAAGCGTTTCCTTGGCAATTGAGTTACTTAAAGGTAAAGTAACTCATTCTGATCAAAGACTGGTTTCTCTGCTTCTCATTCTCTTTATGGGCTCTTCAATTGTAATACAGTGTAAAGAGGAAAAAAAAATAATTGTCAAATCTATTTCACTTTTTAAAAAACAAAGGTCATCCAAAAATATCAAGAAAAGGTCAGTCTGGTTGGCTCCAAACAAGCAGATACTCTAAAGGGAGAGGCACGCTCAGCCCTCCTGCACCCTCGAACGCCCTACACATGCCTTAGGATCACTTCCGTCTCAAATCGGTTCCCGTGGATCCCTCCAGTTCTGAAATCACTTGGGGCAGGCGACGCCAGAATTTACAGGAAACTGACATCTGTCAGTCTGAATGCAAAGTCTTGGATTTCAAACCAGTCAGCTCCTTCTAGAGAAAGAAAAAGGACAATAGCTGCAATTTCTTAGCATACATAATCAATGCTGCGGGGGTTGCTAGGCAACGGGCAGAAAGCCTGTCAAACATCCCTGGGTGCCTCCAATGGGAGAGAAGCAGCTCCCGCAGCCACTCCTCAGAGGTGACAGTCTGTGCAGGCCCCGGAAGCTGCATTCAGCTTGTCTCATTCCTTCAAAATTCGCTTTCCTGTGGTTAGGGCCGGAACCATACACGCTTTCTTCCCAGGCTCCTGGGATAGTCTTTGAACGCACTTTCAATTGGCCAGCTCGCAGCCCTAAAATTGAGCAGGTTGGGCTGGAGACAGCAGCTTTGTAAAAGGCCCATGTGCTATTCTGATCCATTCATCCGGAGCCTGTAGAAGACCCGACTCCTTCCTTGTGACGTTGCAGCCTGCGGATCCCGGAAAATTAACCTGGGCATCCTCTCTGAAGCTTGAAGTCATTCCAGCGAACATAAACAAAGCCTTTGATTTCAACAAAACTGCACATGCAAGATCACTGAGATGAGACTTCCTAGGTGTGCGACCTTGAAGTTGGAACTGCATTTTTGAGCTGCAGGCATTTTGTCCTCTCTGCTTGAAACAACAGTTGCATTTGAATTTCAACAAGAAGGACCTGGCAGAGGAGGAGTCAGGATTTGATAAAAGGGAAAAATCCAAGTTTTTGTTCCTTGGCTTGTCTCTTGTTTGTTTGTTTGCTTGTTTTTAGCGGTGTTAATTAACAAGCACTCTTCATAGGTCATTCATTTGCGAACTTATTTGGCAAAGCCAGGGTGTCTATGAGGACTAGGTCCTGGGTCTAGGTCAGAGGTGGGATTAGGGCTGTGACTGTGATTCAAACCAGAGAAGCCTCACCGACAGTAGCCAAGGGAGATGTGACCACGTGGAAGCATGCCCCACTGGCTACACACGGCTGATGCCGGCTGATCTTTCATCACCAGCCCAAGCCCTGAAACCTTATTTTGGCATGTGTTGGGAAGGAAATGTAACCCAAGAGCTGAGGGTGCCCTGGATTTAGCCATGCAACACCCTCTCTTCAAGGGCATTCAAAGAAATACAGCGAAGTAGGCAGAGAATAAGAAATGATACCAAAAAGAAAAGCTATACCCACTGAGAAATTTCTCCCTATCTGGCCGAGGTCCCTCAGCTACTCCTACACGATCATCTAGGATTCTCTAATCTCCCAGAATGTTTGTACATTCAAAGAGTCTCACCTTGTGACCTCAAGAATCTGAATTCAGAATCTGATGGGCTGACTTAGTTGCCTGGGTGGTCTCCAGATATCAGTGGGAGGAAACATGAGCCCAGAACACAAATCCATGGTCTTCAGTGTCCTTGTGTATAACTCATGACTAGATTAGGATCAGCTCTTCCCTAAGCTTTTTCCAGCTCTCATGTTTTATCAGTCTACGAATCTACAAAAATAGAGGCACCTCTTGGTCCCATTTATCCTAAGGGGGAAAAAAGAGCGGCAGAAGAGAGCAGAGCCTGCAGATATAACCCTGCCAAATGTTCTGAACATTCTGTGCTTTAAAAAATAACAAACTTTTGGGGTAAAGGAAAGGAAAGAGGAAGGAATCGCAACAGCAGGAATTAAACCCCTGCCCCCCCCACCCCCGCCCCCAGAATCAGAGCAGGATTCTTATTTTACACCTTCTACCCTACTTGACCTCACATCTTTCTAGCATCTCCTTCCTGTTTCCTCTCCTCTGGCTCCCTTTCTCCCTTCCATTTGCTTAACTTAGTATGATGTTTATTGACACTACATTTACCCTCCCTAGAAAATTCTGTTCTTTATTCGCTTTATTTTTATTTTATTATTATGTGTATTTATTTTGAGAGAGAGAGAGAGAGAGAGAGAGAGACAGAGTGTGAGCGGGTGGTTGGGGGGGGGTGGGCAGAGAGAGAGGGAGACACAGAATCTGAAGTAGGCTCCAGGCACAGAGCTGTCAGCACAGAGCCCCATGCGGGGCTCGAACCCACAAGCTGTGAGATCATGACCTGAGACAAGTTCCGATGCTCAACCAAATGGGCCACCATGTCCTTTATTCACTTTAAAATGCAGCTTTTAGAAACCTCTGGTGAGCGTCTAAGAGCATCCACTCATGTTGGTTACTTTGGAAGATAAAGAAAGCAAATGCACTGTTTTTTCCTTTGGATGAGTTTTAACAGAAACTGTGTTTAATCTGCAGGATGAGAAAGTTCAAGAAGAATTTTACCTCTCTCCTCAGTGACCTATTCTGTATATACCAGAGTATTTTAATGCTAAGTACAACAGTAATGGAATATACATCTGATTTTTTTAAACATGAAAGGTTGTCCTGATTATAACCAGTAAACAAACGCCACTCATGTAAACATTCTGTGTTTGGCAGAAACAAACAAAACCCAGTCATTTTCTGTTAAGCCAAGAAGTTGCATTTTATTATGCTAGCCAAGTCTACATTCCTTTGCCACCTAATTCATTTAATAAATATATGCCTCTTTTAAGTGGTTTGCATATATTATTCAATACCTTGGTGAGTTGTTTTTTAAAATGTTGACAATGCATATGTAAAAGATACGCTCAAGTCTTTTGCGCTATTTTTGTTAATTCTTGTGTTTTAGAGAACTCGGTGGAACTTTTGTTCCCCTCCAGTAATATTTATGTTATTGAAGGCCAGGTCTCCTTTTTGAGTTTTGGGGGAAATGGCTAGAAGTAAGGACTTTCAGACTCTTTTATTTCAGTAAGACCTTGTATCTCCTAGGGTACTGGAATTTACGAGAGACTCCATCCACCCCAGGATAGAGTCTTGCCCGCACTGTTTACAGTACTGGGGCTCTGGGAACATTTGGGAGGGACAGGGTAAGATATAACAGAAGACGTCAGCAGAGCAGAGGCTGAGAGGGAAAAGTGAACTCTGGTCTCCCTTCTAGAACCTTCACCAGAGACAAGCTCTAGCTGAGCTTGGCATCAGCATCAAGCAATCTGAGGAGACAGATTGAGTCTCCAAGACTTAGCTGGGTGAATTCTGTTTGACCCTACCGACCTCCACCCAGAATTGAGTTAGCATTGACTTGTCAGAGTAGCCCAAAGCTATTCACAGCCTGGAGATGGACAGGTTGCCCCGAGAAGAAGCTCAGACAGCTAGATGTGCCCCAAACACCCTTCCTGCTGTCCATTTGGGTACAGGAAATTCGAACACATCCACCATAGCAGACATAATTGGCTCCTGAATTGGCCAAATACAAAATGACACAATGCGCTTCCACACATTAGTGCGACAACAGATAATGAGACATTCTGGAGTGTTCTCTTACCTTCACTGCCACCAAGATCTTGTCCTGCTCAGGACAGAGGTTATAGCATTCAGCTAGGAAAACTTTTCCAAAGGCTCCTTCGCCTAGCTCCCTTTTCAGAACAATGTTATGTCGCTTGATGTGTTGAACAACTGGAAAACAAAGACAGAATGGAAATTGGAATCGAGGCACGTGGAGGTAAAGGCTGAGGGTGGGAGTCAGGGGCCTGCCTCCTGAGCGTGCAGGCCTGAGACTCTGCCCCTCTGCACTGGCAAACCAGAGGAGAAACTCAGTATCCATCCTCACAGTCCGCCCAAATGGCTGGAGGGAGGTTGCACTGGCTTGCTTTCCAGGACTCAATGGTCATTTTCGATAGAAATCAAGTAGCGACCTCCTCGTTGGCTGCGGAATGTCATTAATGAACTTCCCAGATTAGGAAAGGGGAGAGATGAGAAGGGATTGGACATTAATAGCAGGCCTCTCATAAGCCAGACACCTTGCATATACTTGTTAGTCATGTGTCTAGTGGGGAAAGGCAGAGAGAGAGCTAGGAATCCCTAATTCTTTGTTAAGACGCCTCAGACTCCTGAGGGAAAGAGGCTCAAAGGACACAAGGGGAAAAGGCAAGGTCTGGGCATTTCTAATTAAAGATTTGTCCCCGTCCCAGCTTTAGCCTCCTGCTGAGGTGGGCTAGACCATGGTTGAGACTCATTTCTCCTTCCAGAAACGTCTAGTCTGTGCTATGGCTGGCTTCCCCAGCCCATTCTAAGATCATGTCCCCAGTCTTGGTTATCCAATGCCAAGAAGAGATAAGAATAGATGCATGGTGGGAAGAGAGAATATTTCCCCCTCTAGTCTAGAGTGGAGCTGGCCCACATCAATTCATCCATACACTTTCCCAAGGAACAAGGCAGGAGGCAGCCAAGGCTTTCTGGAAGCCCATCAGCTGCAAGGAGGGGAGCAGAGCAAAGCATTTCTCAGAAGAACAGAGCCAGTGGGAAGCCCCAAAAGAGACTCTGTGGAGGACAGAGCCATAGTGGGAGTATGTGGCTCTTCACCCTGTCCATCAAATGTTGAACTTCTCAGCTCAAGGGTTCCACCAGCCCATTGGCCACCATTCTTTTCTGGAAGGCTCGTCCCTGAATGGCAGTATTAAAAAGAGATCGGGACGCCCTCTGGAGCTTGGAATGTCCAGCCAACAATATTCTCTCATTTTTCTCACACAGCCCTGGGAAGCAACCTTCTCTGCATTTTGTACACAGGGAAACTGAGCCTGCAGAAATTTCAGTGATTCACGGCATGGGAACAGAGAAGTTGAAGTTTGAATTCAGGTCTGAATCCAGAGTAAATGTTTTTTTTTTTTTTTTTTT